GCAGACGGAAGAGTGAGTGTAGAACGCGTTAGACATCGAGGGTGACGGGGGGAGGAGGGGAGGGGGCGAGGGGCAGGCTGCTGCGAGGGCGGGGGGAGACGGTGAGGACAGAGGAGAGGGGAGTCTTCATGGAGGAGAAGGCCGAGGAAGAGGTCAGAGGGGAGGGCTTGAAGAGAGAAGCTTGTTGCAGCAGACAGAGAGAGAGAGGACGAGCGAGCGGTGGGCAGGAGGGGAGGGGAGCTATAAAAGGGGGTAGTTGGAGCGACTGTAAGCTATATATCAAAATCTTTTGTTGGTATGAGGAGCGACTGTTCCTGCTTTAACAGGCTATATTTCGTCGCCAGACCTTGAAGGGAGACAGGAGTCATGGGCCTTTCCTGTCAGCTGACAGTCAAAGTTGTCCCCGGACCTTCGGAGGTAATTTTGAAAGGAGCTCGGTTGGCAGGGAGAAGCCGATAAATAGATCTGACAGGTAGAGTCACGTGACCGTTGCGAGAGTCAAACGTGCTGCTTCCTCAACATCTGACTCTGACAGTCAAAAGTCATCATACCGCCTGCCTTGCGGATACGATGTAGAGCGACAAGACGATCCTATCAGAGCTCTGTGAAGGCGAGCTCAAGCCTGCGCAGGAAGGAGTCTTATTGAGGGGAGGGGAGCGATAAAAGGACTGTCTCTGCTTTAACAGGCTATATTTCGTCGCCAGACCTTGAAGGGGGACAGGAGTCATGGGCCTTTCCTGTCAGCTGACAGTCAAAGTTGTCCCCGGACCTTCGGAGGCAATTTTGAAAGGAGCTCGGTTGGCAGGGAGAGGGCGCTACCTTAAAAAGGGTTATATTTCATAAATAGATCTGACAGGTAGAGTCACGTGACCGTTGCGAGAGTCAAACGTGCTGGCTCCTCAACATCTGACTCTGACAGGCAAGTCATCATACCGCCTGCCTTGCGGATACGATGTAGAGCGACACGACGATCCCATCAGAGCTCTGTGAAGGCGAGCTCAAGCCTGCGCAGTAACCAGTCTTATTGAGCAGGACGGGGCAGCAAGAGAAGCTATGGTCGGGTCGTGTCTTACAGCCACGAGGGCAGCAAGGCTACTGGACTTGGGGAGTACAACCCCTGTTGGGCGACAGAGAGTGCCGAGTACGGGTGGTACCTCACCTTTGCGTGTGGTCCCGCGGAGGTGCCTTGAGCATTTGCCATGGACATCTGCCACCCGTAAAGCTGCGGGGGGTGACCGAACCTCACTCAGGTGCCCTCAGAGCTGCGCTCGTCCTGGTGCTGTCAACGACCTCCCTCTCCAAGGCCTCAAGCCGTTGAAGCACGTCCTCACACCCTCATAGTCTCGGGGCGAGCTCTGGGCCTGCTCCTCCTCCTTGGACCAGCTCGACCAGTCACTCGGTCTCGAGCTCCGACCTCCTATCACGTCCGGTCCTGACTCAGCCTCTGCCGCTCTCAGGCTCCTCCCCGTCGAGGCGTCTCTAGCCCTCGCCTGCCTCTACTGCTGGGATTGCGACTGTGCAGGTCTTGCCGTAGACTCACAGGACGCACGCACTGTCTCCTGGTGCTCAAGGCCCCGTTTATTTACTTGCCAAGCTCCCTTTCAAGCCTAGCCCATACACACACTCTGCTTACATCAGCTCTGCTGCCCTGCTACACCCTCGGGCGTTACCAACCCTTCGCCTGCCCCCTCATCTCCCTCTGCCTCCCCGGCCCTCCACCAGGAAGCCCGTCCCCGCCACGTGCTTCATGCTGTCCTCAAGCAGGTCGAAGAGCCCCAGGTCGATCCACCTCAGCCTCCGGTACGTGCAGCCCGAGGGCTTGTCTGCCGGGCCGCGGCCTCCCGAGCTACAGCCCTGGGGCGCTGCTTGGCTGCAGCCCTGGGGCGCTGAGGTCGGCGGCTTGGCCGGGGCTCTCGCGGCCTTGTACGGCCACCTTTGTACGCCCAGGCGGCGGCAAGCGAGCTTGAGGGAGGAGAGCGAGACCCCGAGACATCGAGCAGCGACAGGCTGAGGCAGACGGAAGAGCGGCCTGAGCGTCTCCATGTCGAGGGTGACGGGGGGAGGAGGGGAGGGGGCGAGGGGCAGGCTGCTGCGAGGGCGGGGGGAGACGGTGGTGACAGAGGAGAGGGGAGTCTTCATGGAGGAGACGGAGTCACAGGAAGGGAGGGGAGTGGAAGGAATTCAGATTGAGACGGGGAAGCTTGCTCAGGAGTTACGAAAGGATTCATGTTGCCAATCTCAGACAGTCAAAGTCGAGCAGGAATTAACTGACGGTAACGTGACCGTAACGTGACAGTTGAACTCTCTGAGGGGTAAATCGTCCCGACGGTCTCAGTGTTTTGACCAAGTTTGGGGGACAGCAGTCGGCAGGATTGGGTTTGGTTCTCGCTGTCTTTCTCTTGCGAGTCGTCGTTTGGCCTGTGCACGGCGACGGACCGTGTCAGGGTCAAGAGTCTCAGTCTTTGACTCTCAGGCCCATGTTCCGTGTTCCGTCCAGTTAAAATGACTATGAAGTACTAGTGACCGTCCGACAAGGACGGCATCACGAGAGTCGACCGTCCGACTGCAGGAGCCCCTGAGGCTTGATCGGACTCTGCCGCAGTGCGGGGGCCGGCCACACGGCCGGCGCGCCGTCCGATCGTGCACGCCGCCGGTCGCACTGAGGCCAAACGCCGGGCCGGGCGACCATCGGACAAGAGAAAAAACCCGGTCCGGGGGCCAACGTGGCACCTGCCGCGCCGATTGCTATCCCCCAAACTTACTGTGACTAGTAACTCAGTGCCATGATACCTGGCCGGAGGCCTCGGTCCCGAGTCCCGGTCCGGGGGCCGCCGGGCCGGGCTCCGAGTCGGCATGATCATCGGATCCGCACTCCGCCCGCCCCGGGGCCCCGCCCGGGCGGGCCCGGGACCGCGCGGCTGTCAGTGCTCCGAAGGTCCTGGCGAGGCGGGTTGGGGAGAGAAGGGAAGGGAGAGAGGGATAGAGAGCAGAGACGGGGAAGACAACCGGGAGCAATGGAAGCATTTTCTGAAGCAAGGGATGTGCAGATGAAGCCGAGAGGGAGTGGGACGACAGAGCTCCACGAAGGCCCACGTTTTGTGCCTTGATCATGACATGCCAATGATTCCAAACCTGTTGTGTGAGAATCGCCAACATCGTTCTACCGCCATGCGCTGCACGACATTCTCTGCAACGCTCCTTCTCCTGCTGACCTCCCTTCCAGTCACCCTTGTCACCAAGTTCGAGACAATGTCCGTGCTGTCAGGAGCTCGAGCGGATGGTGCAAGGGCTCAGTCTGGTGGGAGGAGGGATTGGTGCACAGTCTGCGCGATGAGAAGTGAGGCGCTGAGATTGAAAGGAGGAGCAGACGACTTGCAGCATGACGCTTACCGAGGAGGAGAAGCAGCTGCAGCTGCTGCGGCTGCTGCTGCTGCTGCTGCGGCTGCGACAACGGGGGAAGATGGGGGAGCTGGAGGAGCGGCAGGGGCGGCAGGGGCGGTAGGAGAGACAGCTCCTGAAGAGGGAAAGGAATTTCAGTCTCAATACGCGTTTGGTACAGGACAGGAACAAGGAGGAGAGCTAGGAGAAGGCGGGGGGGAGGGAGGAGAGGAGGAGGAGGAGGAGGAGGATATGCCAATGATGAATATGCTGGATGAGATGGAGAAGCAGGCGCGGCATCATCGCAAGAAGGAGGAGCAGGAGGAGATTCCGGAAACGATGGATGAGATGGGTCTGGAGGACATCTCTATCTCCGAGGAGAACCCTGAGTTCAGAAGATTGACGGACATCATGGACTTTGGTTCGAGGTAGCATCTCCTCCTCTCTGCTCCTCCTCCTGTCCCTCCCCTTGCTTCCTGCTTCCTGCTTCCTGCTTCCTGTCCCCTTTCTTGCACCAGACTCTTCTCCCCTTCCCCTGTCCTATTCTCCTGCCCTGCTCTGTGTCCATGCCTCCTGTCCTGGTCCTGCTTACTGCCTTGGATTGACTTCTGCTCTTCCTCCCTCCCCCTGCCTCGCCTCCTCCTGCAGGTATCAAAACCTCAAGACTAAGGGCTGGACGGTGCTGGAGAGCAACCGGCTGTACTGGGGGCTCCGGAGCTTCGGTTCTGACTTTCAGTTCCTGCAGCGGAACCTGTTTCCCAACAGGACGGTGCAGGAGCTGAAAAGGAAGTACCACAGTGATGCCAGGAGGCGGCCATGGCTGATCGACCACGCCATGGAGAACAGGGTCGACTTCACCCCGCAGGACTTCGCTCGTTTCCCAGACCAGCCCAACATGGAGGAGGGAGAGGAGGGGCAGGGAGCAAGGCAGGAGTTGGCGGGTTGGGAGAGGATGGGGCAGCTACTGGGGTTTAACGTGGAGGATGGTATGCTGACGCTAACGGGGGACTTGAACGATCCGAACCATCCTCTCAACGCTGCTCCTCCTATCCCCTGGGATTACGCGAAGGAGAAGATGATAGGGGAGAAGCACCGGATCTTGGCGGGTTATGGGAAAGGTGAGCAGGAGAGAGCTAGCAGGAGGGAGTGGATGGAAGCGAGGGGGAGCAAGAGGAGAGGAGGAGAGGAGGAGAGGAGGAGAGGAGGAGAGGAAGAGGCAAGACGGTGAGGAATCATGAGTGAGTCGCAAGGTGTCAACTTTCAGCTCTGAGCTCCTCTGCTGCTTCTCCTCACGTCGCTGACTTGTTTCCTGGCAGAAAAGCTGGAGAGTCGAAACTACTGGAAGAATCTCTCGAGCAGTCAAGCACAGGGGGAAGTGCAGCACCCTCGCGGAATGGCGGTGAGAAGGAGGAGGAGGAAGCTGAGAGAGGCGAAACGTGGAGGGGAGAGGGAGGGGGAGGAGGAGGGAGGGAGGGAGGGAGGAGAGAGGCAAAAGAATGAGAGGGAGTTTGTTTGCTCAGCTTGTCACTTCACTTCCCCCAGGCTTCAGTGGGTCTTGAAGTGCTTCCTCCAGATCTGCAGCAGGAGGTCGGAAGGGATGGAAGAGGAGGAGCT